TCAGGGAACACCTCAAGAACCCTACTGTCAGGGAACACCTCAAGAACCCTACTGTCAGGGAACACCTCAAGAACACTGCTGTCAGGGAACACCTCAAGAACACTGCTGTCAGTGAACATCTCAAGAACACTGCTGTCAGTGAACACCTCAAGAACCCTACTATTAGTGAACATCTCAAGGACACTGCTGTCAGGGAACATGTTAAGAACACTGCTGTCAGTGAACAACTCAAGAACCCTACTGTCAGTGTACACCTCAAGGAGTCTGCTGTCAGTGAACACCTCAAGAACACTGCTGTCAGTGAACACCTCAAGAACCCTACTATTAGTGAACACCTCAAGGACTCTGCTGTCAGGGAACACGTTAAGAACACTGCTGTCAGTGAACATCTCAAGAACCCTACTGTCAGGGAACACCTTAAGAACCCTACTCTCAGTAAACACCTCAAGAACCCTACTATTAGTGAACACCTCAAGGACACTGCTGCCAGGGAACACCTTAAGAACACTGCTGTCAGTGAACACCTCAAGGACTCTGCTGTCAGTGAACACCTCAAGGACTCTGCTGTCAGTGAACACCTCAAGGACTCTGCTGTCAGGGAACACCTCAAGGACTCTGCTGTCAGGGAACACCTCAAGGACTCTGCTGCCAGGGAAACACCTCAAGGACTCTGCTGTCAGTGAACACCTCAAGGACTCTGCTGTCAGGGAACACCTCAAGGACACTGCTGCCAGGGAACACCTCAAGAACCCTACTGTCAGGGAACACCTCAGGGACTCTGCTGTCAGGGAATAACTCAAGAACCCTACTGTCAGAGATCACCTCAAGAACACTTCTGTCAGAGATCACCTCAAGAACACTTCTGTCAGGGAACACCTCAAGAACACTTCTGTCAGGGAACACCTCAAGAACACTTCTGTCAGGGAACACCTCAAGAAAACTTCTGTCAGGGAACACCTCACCGCTTAATACCTTAACCTACTGTCAACACCTTGACTGGAATAACCTTAAGAACCCTACTGTCGAGATCACCTTGAACACTGAAACATCACCTTGAATACTTTGTTAACACTTCTGTTCACCACACCTTGAAACTTTGTCACCTGACACCCGAACTACTTCTGTTCAACCACACCCGTATCCCACCAATATTGTTCTTCGTCCTGTGACTGCACAGCATTTGCCCATCTTCCCTGACGGATAATCTTTGAAATGAATTCGTTAGTGAAATGCATCAATAATTCAAAGAAAACTGTTTACCACCTCAGCTGGATAGTCACATCTGTACTGCTTTTGACCTCGTCCTGTCCGGCTTCATGCACTCATCCCCTCTCACCTCACCAGCCCACCATCCCTTTCCTCACCTCTACCAGCCTATACCATCCCCTCTCACCTCTACCAGCCTATACTTCATCCCCTTTCACCTCTGACAGCTTCCACTCTATCCCCTTTCACCTCACTGTTTATACTTCACCTCCTTTCACCTCTACTAAAAAGACTTTATCCCCTTCACCTTTACTACAGTTTGCATTTATCTCAATTTCTACTAGCTTTCCACTATCCCTTTCACTTCAACACCAGTTTATACTTATCCTCTTTCACCTCTACTAATTTATACTTCCTTTCACACCTTTAACAGTTTATGCATTTTATCTCTCACTTTAATCAGCTTTACACTTCATCCTCTTTCTCACCTCGGACCAGCCTATACTTCATCCCTTCACCTTCTACTAACCTATACTCTTCCCCTTCACATCCCTAATCAGCCTACACTCATCCCTTCTCAATTCTACCAGCCTATACTCATCTCCTTCCTCTCACCCCACCAGCCTCCACACTCCATCCCTCTTCTCACCTCTACCAGCCCACCTCATCCCCTTTCACCTCTACCAGCCTATACTCATCTCCTTCACCTCACCAGCCTATACTCATCCCCTTCTCACCCCGACCAGCCTATACTCATCCCCTCTCACCTCTACCAACCTATACTCATCCCCTTCTCACCTCTGCCAACCTATAATTACTCCTTCCCTCAACCTCTACCTCAGCCTATACTCTTCCCCTTCCTCATTAACCCCACCACCATACTCATCTCCTTCTCACCCCACCACCTATACCATCCCTTCTCACCTCTACCAGCCTATACCTTTTCCCCTTCTCACCCTCTACCAACCTATACTCATCCCCTTTTCTTGCCACCCTCTACTCAACCTATACTCCATCTCCTCTTTCTCACCTCACCAGCCTATACTCTTTCCCCTTCACCCTACCAGCCTTATACCATCTCCCTTCCCACACCCCTACTCCAGCCTATATTTATCCCTCTTCACACCTCTACCAGCCTTATACCTCATCTCCTCACCTCACCAGCCTATACTCCATCTCCTCACCTCTACTCAGCCTATACTCTCTTCACACCTCTCACCAGCCTATACCATCTCTCACACCCCTACTCAGCCTTGCCCCATCACCTTCACACCCTACTTCAACCTATACTCATCCCTTCTCACCACCAACCTATACTCATCTCCCACCTCTACCAGCCCAGTACTCTTCCCCACACCCTGCACCAGCCCATACTCATCCCCTTTCCTCAACCCCTACTCAACCCGAGCACCATCTCCTCACCCCTCACCCGCCTTCCCTTCACCTCACTCAGCCTCACCCACCAGCCCATACTCTTCCCCTTCTGACCCTCAGCCTGCATCATGACACCCCTACCAGTCGCATTTCACCTTGCCTTGCCTCCACCTTCACCTCGTACTAACCGCATTCTTCCTATCTCGCACCTCTTGCATTTCCATCTTCACCTCACTAACCTTGCATTTCCATCTCCTTCACCCTCACTCAACCTATACCTTCCCTCTTCACACCCCTACTTCAGCCTCCCACACCTCACGCCTACCCATCCCTTCACACCTCTCACCTAACCCCATACTTCATCCCTTCACTCCTACCAACCCACTTCATCCCCTTCACCTCTACTCAGCCTGCATTTTCCCTCTTCACCTCATTTGTTTTACTGGCCCTCTTTCACTCAGTAGCTCTTGCATTTATCCTCTTCTTACACTTTACCAGTTTATACTTCTTCCTATTCCTTTACCTACTAACTTATACTCTATTCTTTCACTTTACTAACTTTCTTCTCTTTCACTCCTACTAACCTTATGTTTCTTCCTCTTCTCACCTCTACCAACCCATACTCTTCCCCATCTCACCTCCTACAAGCCTTATACTCTATCTCCCCTCTTTTCACCTCTACTCAACCTATACTCTTCCCTTTCTCAATTCTACCAACCTATACTCTCCCTTATCTCACCTCTACTCAGCCTATACTCATCTCCTTCACACCTCGACCAGCCTATACTCATCCCCTTTCTCACCTCTACTCAACCTATACTCATCTCCCCTTCTCAATTCCTACTCAGCCTATATCTTTCCCCTTCACAATTCTCTACCTAGCTCTATACTTGTCCTCTTCTTACACTCTAACAGCCTATACTATCTCCTTTCACATCCCCCACCACAACTCCATACCTTCCTCCTCTCACACCTCTCTACCAGCCTATACTCATCTCCTTCCACACCTCTTACTCAAATTATACTCTTTTCCCCTCTCAATCACATAAGCCTTATACTCATCTCCTCTACACCTCTACCAACCTATACCTCCTCCCCCTTCACACCTCTAATACTCAGCCTATACTCATCTCCTTCACACCTCTACCAGCCTTATACCTCCATCCCTTCACACCTCTACCAACCTACTCATCCCCTCTCACCTCACCAGCCTATATACCTATCCCTTCACACCTCTACCAACCTTATACTCTCATCCCCTTTCTCACCTCTCACCAGCCTATACCTCCATCTCCTTCACCTCACTTAACCTACTCATCCTCCCTTTCTCACCTCTACCAACCTTATACTCCATCCCCTTCTCACCTCTTACCCAGCCTTCTCACCTCTACTCAGCCTATACTCCATCTCCTTCACCTCTACCAGCCTTTTACTCTTCCCCTCTTTCACCTCTCACTCAATTTATACCTATCCCCTTTTCTTTCACCTCTAACAACTTATACATCCTCTTCTCACACCTCTTACCAACCCATACTCATCCCCTCTTCTCACCCTCTACCAACCTATACTCAACCCCTTCACCTCTACCAGCCTATATTTATCTCCCTCACCCCACCAGCCTATACCATCTCCTTCTCACCTCTACTCAGCCTATACTCTTCCCCTTCTCACCTCTACCAGCCTATACTCATCCCTCTTCTCAACCTCTACTCAACCTATACTCACATCCCCACACCTCTACCAACCTATACCTCTTCTCCCATCTCAAATTCTACAGCCTTATAACTCATCTCCCTCACCTCACCTCTCAGCTTCTATACTCATTTCCCCCTTCTCACCTCTACTCAGCCTATGCTCTCCCCTCTTCACCTCTACAAGCCTTATACTCATCTCCTTTCTCACACTCTACTCTCAGCCTCCATACTGATCCCCTCTCTTCTCACCTCTACAAGCCTCAAGAGCTCATCCCCTTCACCTCTACCTTAGCCTATACTATCCCCTTTCACCTCTACAGTTTCCTATATACTCTATCTCCTCCTTCTCACCTCTACCAGCCTATACTCTTCCCCTCACACCTCTTTCAGCCTTATACCAACCTATACTCTTCCTCTCACCTCTACCAACCTTATACTATCCCTAATTTCTACCAGCTCTATACTCTTTCCCCTCTTTCTCAATTCCTACCTTTAACCTATACTCATCCCCTTCTCAATTCCTACCAACTCTATACTCATCTCCTTCTTCTCACCTCTACCAGCTCTTATGCCTCATCCCCTCTTTCTGACCTCTACAAGCCTATATACTCATCTCCTCTTTCACCTCTACCAGCCTATACTCTTCTCCTCTCTCACCTCTACCAACCTTATACTCTTTTCCCCTTCTCTCTCACCTCGGACCAACCTATACCTCCATCTCCCTTCTCACCCCACCAGCCTATACTCTTCCCCTTCTCACCTCACCAGCCTATACCATCATCCTTTCTCACCTCTACCAGCCTATACTCATCCCCTTCTCTCACCTCTACCAGCCTATATACTGATTCCTCCTTCACACCTCTAAATTAGCCTATACTCATATCCTCCTTCTCACCTCTACCAGCCTATACTCATCCCTTCTCACCTCTCGACCAGCCTCCATACTTATCCCCTCTTCACACCTCTACCAGCCTATACTCATCATCTCCTCTCACCTCTACCAGCCTATACCTCATCTCCTCTACCCCACCAACCTATATACCATCCCCTTTCACCCTACCAACCTATACTCATCCCCTCTTCACCTCTACCAACCTATACTCATCCCCTTTCCAATCTCTACCAGCCTATTCTCATCTCCTTCTCACCTCTACTAGCCTATACTCATCCCCTCTTCTCACCTCTACTCAGCCTATACTCTTCCCCTTCTCACCTCTCTACCAGTTCTATACTCCATCCCCTCTCACCCCGACCAGCCTATACTGATCCCTCCTCTCACCTCTACCAGCCTATATACTCTTCCCCATCCCCACCTCTACCAGCCTATACTCTTCCCCATTTCTCACCTCTACCAACCCTATACCATTATCTTCCCTCTCCTCACCTCACTCAGCCTATACTCATCCCCTTCACACCCTACCAACCTATACTCTGTCCCCTTCTCAAATTCTACCAGCCTATACCATCCCCTCACCCTAACCAACCTATACTCATCCCCTCTTTCTCACCTCTACCAACCTATACCTCATCTCCCTTTCTCACCCTCTACCTCAGCCTATTCCTCCATCCCCTTCACACCTCTACCAACCTACATACCCTCTCCCTTCTCACCTCTACCAACCCATATACTCATCCCCTCTTCTCACCTCCTCACCAACCCCATACTCATCCCCTTCCTCACCCCTTCCCACCAGCCTATACCTCATCTCCCTCACCCCCACCAGCCCATACTCTTCCCCTTCTCACCCCACTCAGCCCATACTCATCTTCACAACTGCTGCAGCCCAGTGGTTGCCGCTTGTCGCCACGCCACATCTGTCCGGACACACATGGGCAATGTTTGAAGCCTATTTCTGAGTCCCCTTCCATGCTGGATTATTGCTAAGAGCAGCATAAAACTAAACTTTAAACCTCCTTCCCATCTCTACCAGCCTTTACTCATCCCCTTCTCACTCCTAAACAGCCTATACTCATCACCTTCTCACCTCTCTAGCAGCCTATATACTCATCCCCTTCTCACCCTCTACCAGCCTTTTACTCATCCCTTCTCACCCTCTAGCAGCCTATACTCATCACCTCTTTCTCACCTCTACCAGCCTTTACTCATCCCCTTCTCACCTCTTTAGCAGCCTCAGTACTCATCACCCCTCTACTCAAGCACTCTAAGCACTTATCTCTTTTTCATTTCTTAGCATTGAACTACTTCTGAAGGTTCCTTTTGTAGAATCAATGTTGTATTCAACCTTAAACTTCATCTCCAGGACTTGTCATAACGCGCTCTATTACTGTATATATCTCAGTACACAACATACTTTATAAAAGAGTCCTGAACAAAACCTAAAGTCTAGTACTGTGTCATTAGGGCAGAACCAGCAGACAGGACACTGACATTCCTCACAACAGACACTCACTAAACTCACTCACTGATAAACAGGTAGAACTGTGACAGATGACGGGCGATACCAACACAGTCAAACCATACCTGCTTTGTTTATAGATGCGGCTGCTTAATAACAAGACATAAACAAGCATTGTCACTAAGGTGATATAATCCTCACCGCAAATTATCAAATCAAACTTAAAGGTGTAATGAAAGTGAAACGCCGTAATTTAAGATGAAGCTAAATGTCAACAAAAACAATAGACCAGTCAACCCTCTTTGATATTGATTCAGAAGCTGTTCAAATCGACAAATATTTTCAAAGACTCACTTTGACCTTGACATAAATGTCTTTAAAGTACGAAATATGCAAAAATAGTAACAAAGAAATTGCTTATTGAAAAAAGATTCAAGGGAAGTCTTGAAAGCCCATGAAGAAAATCCAGTGAACTGTCTTCAGCGAGATAATTTCATTGACAACTTTAACATGCAGTTTAACATGCTGAAATCTTCAGCAAGTCGCTGTGACCTTGAAAATTGTAAGGTGAAGGTCACCAAACCCGACTGGAGCCCCTGCGCCTTCCTAGATAAAGCTTTGTTGCTGAATATAAAGAAAAATCTAGCGAATGGTTCTTTGAGATATCTCGCCGACAAGGGTAAAACGCTAAAGTCCCCTTTGTAGGACTCTAAAATGAAGGTCAAGGTCACCAAATCTGACTGGGACCTTTTTACTGTGATGTGAACCCAGGTAGCAAATGTGATAAGAACTAGCCGAACGGTTCTTAAGATATTCCAATTGCGGACGACGGACGACGGACGACACTATATCCCACGCTGGCGCCAAACGCAAGCGGGCGGATAATACCGGACACTTTCTTTATTTTCACACAGCATAGTAGTTTTAAAAAGCTTGTTACGGACAATACCCGATAAAATCATACCAAATCAATGCCGCTTTAGCCAGCACACTATCTTTACATGAAGCATTGACAGATCGACGCTTTTCGACAAAGCAAAAGACTACTTCAAGTTTGTTTGTCTGAGACTTTAAATTATCTTTGTTTTGTGAATCCAACGTTTACTGGCATCACTGCTTCTTTCAATAGTGGCTTGCAAAACCTTTTTGTAACACCACCTGGCAAAATGCTAAATTTATTCGAATGAGCAATTACAAAAGTGATGTCGCTATAACATCTTCATCTTTCCTTTTACCATGTCAGTGGGTCGAACCTTAAAACTATTTCCAGATCACCCAGCGATAGTCTTTATACGCAGCAGTCATGAGACATGCACGTTAGTTGTCGGTTACTACCTTCTCACCTCTACCAACCTATACTCTCTCCTTCTCCTACCAACCAATATACTCACCTCTACCAGCCTATACTCTTCCCCTTCTCACCTCTACCAGCCTATACTCTTCTCCTTCTCACCAACCTCTCTTCCCCTTCTCACCTCTACCAACCTATACTCATCCCCTTCTCACCTCTACCAACCTATACTCATCCCCTTCTCACCTCTACCAACCTATACTCATCCCCTTCTCACCTCTACCAACCTATACTCTTCCCCTTCTCACCTCTACCAACCTATACTCATCCCCTTCTCACCTCTACCAACCTATACTCATCCCCTTCTCACCTCTACCAACCTATACTCATCCCCTTCTCACCTCTACCAGCCTATACTCATCTCCTTCTCACCTCTACCAGCCTATACTCTTCCCCTTCTCACCTCTACCAGCCTATATTCATCTTCACAACTGGGGCGGTGGGGTAGCCCAGTGGTTAAAGCGTTTGCTCGTCACGCAAGACCTGGGTTCGATTGCGCACATGGGCACAATGTTTGAAGCCTATTTCTGGAGTCCCCTTCCATGATAGTGCTGGATTATTGCTTAAAGCAGCATAAAACTAAACTTAAACCCTTCCCATCTCTACCAGCCTTTACTCATCCCCTTCTCACCTCTAGCAGCCTATACTCATCCCCTTCTCACCTCTAGCAGCCTATACTCATCCCTTCTCACCTCTACCAGCCTTTACTCATCCCCTTCTCACCTCTAGCAGCCTATACTCATCACCTTCTCACCTCTACCAGCCTTTACTCATCCCCTTCTCACCTCTAGCAGCCTATACTCATCACCTTCTCTACTCAAGCACTCTATACTTATCTCTTTTTCATTTCTTAGCATTGAACTACTTGAAGGTTCCTTTGTAGAATCAATGTTGTATTCAACCTTAAACTTCATCTCCAGGACTTGTCATAACGCCCCTATTACTGTATATCCCAGTACACAACATACTTGAAAAGAGTCCTGAACAAAACCTAAAGTCTAGCACTGTGTCATTAGGGCAGAACCAGCAGACAGGACACTGACATTCCTCACAACAGACACTCACTAAACTCACTCACTGATAAACAGGTAGAACTGTGACAGATGACGGGCGATACCAACACAGTCAAACCATACCTGCTTTGTTTATAGATGCAGGCTGCTTAATAACAAGACATAAACAAGCATTGTCACTAAGGTGACATAATCCCCCGCCGCAAATTATCAAATCAAACTTAAAAGGTAATGAAAGTGAACGTCGTAATTTAAGATGAAGTTAAATGTCAACAAAAACATGACCAGTCAACCTCTCTTGATATCTTGATCTGTAGTTGTTCAAATACAAATATTTTCAAGACTCACTTTGACCTTGACATAAATGTCTTAGTGCATGAAATATGCAAAAATAGTAATAAAGAAATTGCTTATTGAAAAAGATTCAAGGGAAGTCTTGAAAGTCTATGAAGAAAATCCAGTGAACTGTTCATGAGATAATTTCATTGACAATCTTAACATGCAGTTTAACATGCTGAAATCTTCAAAGTGTCGCTGTGACCTTGAAAATTAGGTGAAGGTCACCAAAATCGACTGAGCCCTGCGCCTTCCCTAGATAAAGCTTGTTGCTGAATATAAAGAAAATCCAGCGAATGGTTCTTGAGATATCTCGCTGACAAGGGTAAAACGTTAAAGTCCCCTTGTGACCCTAAAATGAAGGTCAAGGTCACCAAACCTGACTGGGACCTTTCTTTTACTGTGATGAACCTAGGTAGCAAATGTGATAAGAATCCAGTCAACGGTTCTTAAGATATTCCAATTCGTACGGACGGACGGACGGACGGAGCCTAATACTATATCCCACGCTTTGCGCTAAACGTGCGGCGGGGGATAATAATGAAGACTTTCTTATTTTCATATCACACAGTACAGTAGTTTTTAGTGGAAAAAGCTTGGTACATGGACAACAATTCCGATGTGTGTAAAATCATACCAAATCAATGTCAAGCGAGTCAGCACACTATCTTACATGAAGATTGACAGATCGACGCTTCTTCGATCAAAGCAAAAAAGATCATTTCAAGTTTGTTTGTCTGGAGACTCTTAAATCTATCTTGTTTCTTGTGAATCCAACAAGCGATTACATCACTGCTTCTTTCAATAGTGGCTTGCAAAAACCTTTTTTGTAACACCACTCTGGCAAAATGCTAAATTTATCTGAATGAGTACACGACCATAAAAGTGATGTCATACAATATCTTCTCATCTTGGGAGCTTCCCTTAACATGTCAGTGGGTCGAACCCAAAAACTATTTCCAGACTGAAATTCCATGACAGGTTTTATACGTGCTATATCATGAGACATGCACGGTTAGTTGTCGGTTACCATGGGATTATGGCAGCAACTCCCAACAGGAATTCCTTGAAGGTTCATTTGTCAATTCCTCCTGTGAGAGGCAGATCACAATGTAGGAAATAATAGCTGTTCATTCAGGATATAATGTCATTCCCAAAAGAGTTCAGGCACTTCTGTGTCATTATGACTAATTCATGACAACCACTGTCAAATTTAAAAGTTAAATTAATGGATTAAATTACCCCGTTGTCATGGTTGCCAAGACATGTCTAGAATCTAAGAATTCTTAATCTATTAAATACCATTATTACAGCCAGACACTACTTCCTACACAAACCCACTAAGTTAATCAGTTAAATGAGTCATACCTCATACCATCAATAACCTCAGGGCCTGGTGTATAAATAATCTGGATATAACCAACACAATCATCACAATCCTGGTGTATACGCCTGTTATCTGCCCATGCATATGCCAAGATAACTTCAGCATCAAATCACCAGTCTCAAGACATGAGGGTCTTGTTCCATACACCAGTCCTGGTTTCATACTGCAAGGAGACACATAATGGGAGTGATTATTTTTGTCATGTGCTCTGTTGAATAACAAGATAGCAGAACCTTTGTCTGTCACAAAATAACAGGTTTGGCTACTCACGGGATTCAACACTGGATAAGCAGATTATAAGTACAGCTTAATTCCGGACAGATATAAGATTACTTATGCCCAAAGGGTAACATGCAACCATATATCAACTGATGAGGCCTAAAACCTGAGCTGACAATGTGAGCTAGAACAGGATGCCTGCAGAGAGTTCAATTCTGTTCCAATGGGACTGAACTGAAACCTGCCATCAGAATGAAAGTGTGAAACACTTGGATGTTTTCCCTGCAAGGACTGTTGTGTCGCCCATCACGTTGCTGGGTATTAGTTCCAGCATCCTGATACATAATAAGGTAATAAGGAGGCCATACATCAAATCTGGTTTTTCCCCTCTTAAGCTATCACAATGCTTGTAAATATGTGCACAGAAGTCACCAGTTGGATGACTATCAACAACAGCCGACATCTTGACAAAAAAACAGATCCAAAGAAAATCAATCTTTTCTTCACCACACCTCTCATGCCTATGCCAGTGCTAGTAAATATACACACAAAACAGACATTGCGAGTTGGATGAATTTCAGATCTGGTAAAATACCAAACTGGTAACTGCGGACATCTTGACAAACTGATTTCTACAAATTTCTGGATACAGCTCAAACCAAGGAAGTGCAGACACAGGGCGATACTTCCGAACTCTACACAGGGAGACAGCTGTGCTCATAATATATCAGCTAGCCAGTGTACGTTGTATGTTGTACACCATTTACATCAGTTGACAACTGTTCTACAAACGTGATGACTTGTCAGAAGTGCACCCTCTACAAATCAGATCTGTATCTCCCATGCAGCTATCATCTGTGTAGATCAGTGTTCCACTCCAATCCATATGGACGGTAATTAGTACAATGCCTAGTCCTGACTCTATGCTAATGCCATGTTAATCATACTTTAAAGTTTTCCCTGAGGCCAAGCCTCATTCAGCACAGGTAGACAACTGCTTCCAAGCTGCCATGCAGACAGGCACATATTGATTAAGTTGATGATGTACTCATGTGATCAGTCAGGTCAAACTTTTCAACAATAATGACTATGCTGCTATCAGGCAATATGTCAAAATTTATCAAATCATTTCAACAATGTTGCAGTGAGGAAAACATCTCAAAATAACCTTGCAGTGAGACAGCTATTTCCACGATCGTGATGCTGCTGCTGCTGGAACATGACATACATAACAAGAAGACAAAGTCATCAATATCCCCCAACAGCAAAATACTCTTTATGAATATGTCTACAAGTTATGATTATGTCAAATGTTTTGGAGTGTATACAGCAAAGTGGAAGGAGAGTACTGAAAGGTTTTTAAGATCTGCTCCAGAGAGGAGCACTACCACCAAATTCAGTTGCCATGGAAATGCAACAAGATGACATCCTGATAGTCACAGCCTAAGTCACATTTCCATGGAAACCATACAAAATAAAATTCATATCTGGGTCTAAACCCCAAAAGGCACATCTATGGATCATGATTGACATATGTACCAAGTTTGATGAAGCTAGCATGTATAGTTTGGGAGATCTGCTCCGGACAAGATGACATCCTCATAGCCACAGCCTAAGTCACGTTTCCATGGATTGCGGGGGATAATAAACCCAGCTGCAGTGGCAACTGGAGAGATGTATGACGGTGACGGAGACACCGCCTGGATACATAGGACACAACAGCCACTAGTGAACCAGTAGTCATTATACAGACGTATGACACAGTGACGGAGACACCACCTGGATATATAGGACACAACAGTCACTAGAGAACCAGTAGTCATTATACAGATGTATGACACAGTGACGGAGACACCACCTTGATATATAGGACACAACAGCCACTAGTGAACCAGTAGTCATTATACAGACGTATGACACAGTGACGGAGACACCACCTGGATATATAGGACACAACAGTCACTAGTGAACCAGTAGTCATTATACAGACGTATGACACAGTGACGGAGACACCGCCTGGATATATAGGACACAACAGCCACTAGTGAACCACTAGTGACACCACACCAGCAAAACATGGACTTGAAACACTTCACCACCTCATGCTGCATGATTTCATGCAATCTGATATCAC